ACCAGATCGGGCCTGGCAACTCACCTCCCAAGACGGACCTCGCCGCGCTGGGAGCGCCCAGCGATGGGAGGGACGCCCTGATGGCTTAAGATGAAGTCGCTCCCTTTTTGGCTCTTGAGGTGGTTCGGTTTTGGCTCTTATCAGAGCCTAGGGAGATTTGGGACCTTGATGGCCAGTTTGCATCACAACAAACATCAACACCGGGTGCACCAGGTCAAAAGAACCCGGAAACACCACGCTGAGGCTGCAACCTCCCCCGCCGCAACCTCTCGCACCGTGTCCGGCGCCGTGTCCGGCGCCATGTGGTACGAGTCCCCAGTGGACGGTGCCGGGGGGGTTGGGTGAAGTCTTTGAGATCTTGCAACTGTGTGAAGTGTTTCCACCTGTTCATCGCTTAAAACCAGCCAAGTGCGCAGACATGTTTTTCATCCGTTTTTGTGCGAGAAATGGTCCATGGCTGTGGTTCAGGGATATACACTGTGTTGTATAGTTGGAAGATCCAAGGGTATATAATATATTATACAGTTGACAAAACAAATGCCCTTCCAGTTGCTGGAGATGTGTGCGTTACATCTCTTATAGGTAGTTTTATATGGTTTTATGATTTAATCAATTCGTCAAACATTAGGTGGGTGACAGTGAAAACACCCCAAGCGATCCCAATCCACTACTATATTAGACGTGTTGCGCTAGAAGTTGTGCACTGAATTGATTGGGTTTATCAAGAATCTGAGTAGTCCACGGAGACATGGTAGACATGTAGTAGAGAAATCAGGTTTTGTGAACCATGGTCCATGGTGTGATTCGGGGATATACACAGTCAACTGCTGAAGGAATTTAGTTGACTTTGAGTTGGATCAACCACGAAAACGCCTGTGAATACCAGTGATATTCAATGATTTGTCTGGTTTCTTCTGCGGATCTGGTCAAGCAATGTTGTATTTTGTCCGATCATGTCTTGCAACATCAGTATTGTCTGTTTCAAAGCTCCCTGGAGGCTCCCCCAACCGGCGGTTTTTGTACCCCAAGAGCAGTAAGAATGTGTGCTTGTGAAGCCTCGTCGGTTGTTGGAAGGAACATCAAAGGCAATCCTAGAGCTGGAAGTTGGCAATTGATATTTTCAGAGTGTTGTCATGAATTTGAGTTTTGCAGGTGCACGGCCTGTGCCACTAAGAAAAAAAACTATCCTCTCGAGGTTTGTATATGTTTTGTGAGTTTTAGTTTTCCATTGCTTCTGTTGAGCTGTACTGGCACTCTCATCCTCTCTTGAGGTCAGCCAGCTGGGGCAAGAGGACGGGCGGACTGGTGGACCGGGTGGACTGGTCTAATCCCAGCTTCGGTCCGGTGGGCCGGGCAGATACCAAGATGTACTCCAATTGGGTGATGTTCTAGTGCAGTCCATCAAGGTAATGTCGATCTCCAATTTCATGGACCTTTTGATCTATATTGGGGGAACAACATCATGATAATTATGATATGCAAAGACATGTGTGTATTGTATATACTGCTTGAATACGGTGCTCGGAGGGTGGTTTTATGGTGGTCGAGAACGTATCCCCAGTGACCCTGCGATGTCGGGTGACGCAGGTGGCAACTAATGCGAACATAGGATCGTATAACATAGCCCATTTAGTTTGGTCTGCCTCGGGGCCTCCAATAAAGACCATTTGGCCCAACATTGACACAGTTTTGCACTAACCCCCCCTAATAGGTTTGGACTCCCGTTTTGGATGCAATTCTTGTTTGCCTCTTGGCCCGTTTGCCTCTTGGCTGATGCTGATCACCTGATCTTGCCCCATCCCCTGATGGAGGAGTGAATAGAGAGAGCCTTGGTGCAATTGGACTCAGAGTTGGTGATTGCAATGAATTTGAACTCCTCATTTACACCAACTGCCCATCCTCATAGTCTGCTCATCCTGCATTGTGGAATCCTGCGTGTCTTCCAATGGCTCTTCTTCTATATCTTCAGCCTCATCCCTCTCACCGGATTCTTCTCCTTTGGACCCGTCTCTTCATATGAATTTGCTCTTGATCTGGCCACAGACCACCCCAAATCACCCAGAATCCTAAAACCACTCCCACAAAATCCTTGATACATTGTTCTACAATTTTTCACAAAACCAGACCCTACCCCAAACAAAAATACCGTTTCAAGCTCTCAAAGGGCCTCTATTCATAACACCACAATTAAAAGGTTATATTATGAATTGCCTAATCAATCAATCAATTGATTGCCATAATTAAGAGGTTTAGTCTTGGGGATCCCTCCTGAAGAGATTTAGTCTTTAGGGCCTCTCATGCAGAGACTTGGTCTTGGTGACCTCTCCTGCTTGATCCCCCCAACAATGAAAGTCAAATTGCACTAATAGCAAACCCCGCCAAATAGCAAACCTTGATGGCGGGGTGTTTATCAAGGTGGCTTGGTCCCAGCACCGATCCAGCCAGGCCCCGGCGCTGAACCCCCCCGTGGTCCACGCCGCTCCGTGCGGAGCGGCCCACGGGGCGCACGGCGCGCCGCCCAGCGGTCCGCCGCCGCCGGCGCCGGCGCC